AATCACACAGATACTTTGGTTTGTACGTTTAAAAGAAAAAAAAAATTAAAGGATCATAAATACCAAAGGGAGCTTGAGATTTTATACGTCTGAAAGCCCCAAATTTCTTTATTGCACTGTTTGCTCTACTGTGGATAAGAAAATGTGGTTTTTCCTTGAAATTCTTTCTTTCAATAATGAAGGCAATGGATGCTTGCTCGAGGCATCTATTTACCATTCCAATCATAAAAATAAAATGAGTACTGGTAATTTTATGCAGATCTGATCCGATCACCTTTCTCGAGTGTTGTGTACTTCTGTTCAGCTCTTTGGAGAGCTCATTCTGCCCAGGAGAGCCTTGGTTTCTGGTGAGAAGATGCTTGGCTTCCATAAATCCAATGGCAAAGCCACATTCCCTCAGCTGAAGGTGCAGTGCTTGAACTCTATCAGGAGTGAATAAACAGATGGCAGAAGAATTGTGATATGGAGCTGACACACCCAGGAACAGGAGAGCTGCACTGTGCAGCCCTGGAAGCGAAACACTGAGTGTGCTGGGAATCACCCCTTCATTCTGTAGCTGCTGTGAGAGGCTGGCACTCCTGAACCCCTCCATGGGCTACTTGGTGGCACATGGGTGGCTGCTCTCCTATCCTGCACCAGCATCGTTTTATGCTGCGTATTTCAATTACTCCCTGCATAAAAATAGTTTTTCACGTATCACACAGGCTGGGATCCAAAAGTCCACCCCCTTCCTGACAGGAGGTATTAATCTTGGAGAATATCTCAGACTTTCAGATCGTTTCCCTCACTTCTCACATTTCCCTCAAGTTCCCCCCCTTCGTTTACCCCCTCCCACACACGTGATGTCGAGAGAAGGAAGAGCAGAGAGGAAGGAGGGCAAGATTCCCATGGATCAGCTCTGGGAATGATGACAAGGAGCCAGCTCTCCTCCCACGCTGACTGGCACACTCAGCTCCAGGAGAACACAGTCTGCCAGCTAAAGGGCACGGCCAGCCCTTCTCCCGTTTGCCATCTGCGGGATGGCGCGGATGGGCTGCAGGGACACAGCGCCCAATCCTGGGGAATGGCAGCACTGGGCACCCCCAGCTCTGCTCACAGCTGCATCTCCCATCCTGCAGAGCTCATCCCTGCATGCTTTGATGCCTCAGAGCCTGCTCCAGAAAGCCAAAGCCGGAGCAGAGGTTGCAATGCCTGAGGCAGGGCTGCAGCCAAGGCGCAATGGCTTTTGCCACAGCACCCACTGACTCTTCCCTCTTCTCCCTACCCACTCTTTTTATGAGCCTGAGCTTGGGACACCTTCATTGCACCTCAGCCCTACAGCCCTGTTAGGCACAGATGAGAAAGACTGCCCTGGGCCATGGGAAACTGATCCAGAACATTTCCTGTGGCATTCACATTCTCTGAAAAAATCCCTTCGCCCAGGATTTTTCTCCTGGGAAGCTGAGAAGCCTCAGAGAAAAAGGAAAACAATTCTTATCTCATTTGCTTCTCCTGTGTTGTGCTCACATGTGGAATGTGTTTGGAGATTGTTTACCCACAGGTGATTGTTCCATTGGATTCTGCTGTGAGTTGTTTTCACTCATTGGCCAACTGGGTCCAAGCTGTGTTGGGGCTCTGGAGAGAGTCACGAGTTTTCATTATTATCTCTTTAGCATTCAGTAAGTATCTTTTCTGTATTCTTTAGTATAGCATAGTATTCTTTAATATAATATTAAAAAGTAATAAATTTGCCTTCTGAGAACATGGAGGCAGATGCATCATTCCTGCCTTCATTGGGGCTTCTCTACAAATACAATAGGAAACTGATCCAGAACATTTCCAAATGGCCCATCACAGCAACTGGAAGGAATATGTGATTTCAAGGCTATTCAGCAAAAGGGATTACAAGATGGGCTAATTAAGATTTTTTTACACTGTATTTCGTCTGAATTTTAAGTTTTGGCAAGAGAAAAGTCAATATATCCCCTATGTATGAAAAAATTCCTATGAACGACATCTTTTGTAGCATGTGTGGAATGAGTAGTTCAAACCCAGTTTACATTGCACTTTAAAACCTGCAGTTCTGGGTTATTACATAAAACTCTGCAAATTAACCAAGTGAAGATAATAAACTGACTGTAAACAAAGAGAAAGTGTTACTTCTACTATCCAAATAGAATAGTACTCCAAAACATAAATAGCACAAAGGAAAAATAAACCAGATATTTAAAATTTTCACATGTCACCCTCAAAGGTGACTTCCACAACAGAGGAAAGATAATTTAACTTTAAAAAAAGAGGCTTTCAGATGGTGAGAGACTGCCCAAAGATTTGGAAGCCTGCATCAGAGTACAATTTCTATTTGGATATCACTGCTCTGAGGCACAGGGCACTAATGAAAACCTCAAATGCACCAATCTCCAAGCAGTGGAAATCTTGATTTATTCGATGTTGCCCATTTTCTTGTCTACTGTGGTGGTCTCTGACCCTTCTCTGCAATTGCACTGCAGAGTCTACACTGAAATGACAACTACATGCAATGTATTTAGGGACTGAGAAACAGAGGACTCCCATTAACACCTAAACACAGTCACACTCTCCAGCTAAGCAGGCAGAAATACATGGCAAGCCTGTGAAACATCACTTGAACATGTTATAAATCTGGACTACAAGAACTGATGGGAATTTTGCCATTTACTCTGCAGGGAACAGGCTCCCCTCCTTGATGTGAACACTTCACACCACTGCAAATCTTATCTGTTTTACAAGCCTTGCTCAGCTCATTGAGATGGCTGAAGCACAACAATGACAGAAAATCTCTTTTTACCTTGAACATTCCTGGCAGTAGATTCGTGATCCTCCTGTTTCCCCTCCTGTGTGGGCTGTGTGATACATGACAGGATTTGGCTGGGATTGTAAATAGCTGTATTCTAGTCAGGTGTGTCATCTCAGACTAAGTTTTCCCTCAAAATGCACGTGGTATCAGCAGCTTCATTAACAGAACCGTTCATTTATGTACAAACTAAATGCCATGCTTTGCATACTGAGCTTGGGATGCATCCCCAAAACACTGCCTTTCACCAGGCTGTGGGGATGCCACAGGGAAGGATTCCTTTTCATCTGTAGCTTGTTTGGTTTGCTACTTTTGCAACAGGGAACCAGGAGAAAGAGCGGCAAACCGTACCGCCGAAACCACTGCAGCAAAGGGCAAACAGATTTTAAAAAAACACCACCTAAAAGGAGGTTGTTGGTTTGGTTTTTTTTAAAAAACAAATAGAATTAAAAATAAAATTAAAAACCATTTTGTGCTGGTCCAGCCTGACAGGGTTTACACAAGCAACACAGCTGCACAGTCCAGATTCAACTCCCAAGCTTTTAACCAGCACAGATTGTGAGCCCTGAACACTCAGCCCTCCCTTCCTGAAGGTATCTGCTCTCCTTCCTTCTTTCCTAGACACCTTCTGCATGAGGGAAGACACAACTCTGGCTACCCCCAGCAGCACCCAGAGGAGAACTCCAGCAGAGAACCACACTTCAAGCCAATTTCAACATAAGGATGTCTCATGGGGGTCTGTCCTTCTGGGATGAAGGGCACAGGGTTTTCTAGTGTGCTTTGTGAAATGTCAGATAATTTGGATAAGGAAAAAGGGATGGTTAAGTCAGGCTTTTTTTTTCTGTACATCCACAATGAAGATGTGGTGTCTTCAATGCCAGCAGAAAACAGCACTGGCTTTGAAAACTCTGGTTTTGAACATGTCTCTCCAAAGTGGGAAAGTGAGCCCCAGGAAACCTAAAAGAGCCCCATGAGAGAACTCAAGTCCAGAGATTGTCTTTGATTCATCACTCGATGTTCTTCAGGTGGAAGAACTGCACCTGAGTGCAGTGGATTGCATCTGGAAGCACACACACCTTCCACAAGTCCTTCCACAGGAAAACTCACAGCTATTGCAAAAGGAGCAAATTTTCCTCTGGAATACATCCACAGGTTTCAGAGCAAGCACGCTGGAGTAGCAATGGCTTCTACGTGTGGCACACACTATCCCACCCACACTTTGTGCATCGTACTTCAATCAGAACTTCCAGAGTTTCAGGTTTGTTAAAGAATGAAGCCACCTGAAGCACATGAAGCAATTAAAGGCAGGCAGTAGCTCTTTAAAAGCAGGGCTAGGTGGAGGATACTCCTATATCATAAGGAGGGCTTCTGTGGCAGCCACAGTAGCAGAAACAGACCATGAGAGACTTGAGGTAAGGGTTAATGAGTCATGGATTGTTTCATTTGGTTTTGATTTTTTTATTATTGAGGTTATTTTTATTTCAGCTCAAGTGTTTGCGTTTAGCCCTGTATTCCAGGGGCTTTTATAGTGTTCAAACTCTGAGCTCCTCCTGCAGTAAGCAATTCCTAATTCGAGTGTAGGAATAGGAAATACAGAGATGATGCAGCCACATCTTAGGGACCTGAGCAGGCTGGAGACTTTACGCTGGGAAACTGTGAATCTCCAGTTCCTCTGGACAGTGGTTCTAACATTTTCTAGCGAGTATCCTTAGAAAACCCTGCACGGGGGGGCTCTGAAAGCTCATTTCTAGCTAGCGAGCGATGTAGTCACCGTGAGCTTTACTCCTCTGACCGCAATCCCGGTTCGTGAGAGCCCGAGCCGCCGAATCCCTTCGGCACCACCCGGCGGGCTCGGGGGATGTGTCCGCTCTGTCCCGGGAACCGGGACCGCCCGTGCCCGGCCGAGTGGGGCCAGGCGGCTGCCCCAGCCCTGCTCCCCCGAGGGAAACGCGATTTGCCCGCTGGCATCCCTGGGGACCCCGCAGGGCGCTGTCCCAGCCCGCGACGCGAAACTTGGCGCAGGGGCTCCTGCCTCCCTCCGTCCGTCTGTCCGTCCCTGCCCGCGGTGCCGTCGGGGAAAGGGAAAGTTGCGGCCGCGGGCACCTCTGGCAGCCCGAGCAGCCGCAGGTGGGCAGAGAGAGACCCCGAGCCCGGCCGCCCTCCCTCGGTGCCTCCCGCACATCCTTACCCAGCCCTGGCACGAAGGTGTTGAGGAAGAGGCAGATGACGGCCACGGGGAAGGGCATGTAGGGGATGGCGGCGCGCAGGGGGCCCTTCTTCTCCCGGACCTGCACCACCACGCCGCTGGACGGGGCCGCGCCGCCCCGCCCGGGCTCGGCGGCCGCCGCGCTCTCGCCGTCCTTGGGCGAGGGCTCCATGGCCGGCGCGGCCGTGCCCCGGTGGGATCGCGGCTCCCGCTCCCGCCGCCGCCGCCGAGCGCGCTCCCGCCGCCAGGCGCGCCCCCCGCGCCGACCCCTCCCCGCCCTCCGCCCGCCCCTCGCGGCGCTGCAGCCCGCCCGCATCCCGCCTTATCCCGGATTATTCCTTACAGCCCCTCGGCAGCCGCTTCCCCGCATCCCGCCTTATCCCGGTTTATTCCTTACAGCCCCTCGGCAGCCGCTTCCCCGCATCCCGCCTTATCCCGGTTTATTCCTTACAGCCCCTCGGCAGCCGCTTCCCCGCATCCCGCCTTATCCCGGTTTATTCCTTACAGCCCCTCGGCAGCCGCGCCGCTGCCCGGTGCGCTTCCCTGCATCCCTGTTTATCCCAAGCCCTTCGGCAGCCGCTCCCCGAGCGCTTCCCTGCATCCCGGTTTATCCCGAGCCCCTTGGCAGCCGCTTCGCTGGATCCCGGCTTATCCCGAGCCCCTGGGCAGCCGATTCCCTGCATCCCGCCTTGTCCCAAGCCCCTCGGCAGTCGCTGCCCGGAGCGCTTCCCTGGATCCCGGCTTATCCCGAGCCCCTGGGCAGCCGCTGCCTGAAGCGCTTCCCTGGATCTCGGTTGATCCTGAGCCCCTGGGCAGCCGCTGCCCGATGCGCTTCCCTGCATCCCATCCTCATCCCGGTTTATCCCGGGCCCCTCGGCTGCCGCTGCCGGAGCGCTTCCCTGCATCCCGGTTTATCCCAAGCCGCTGCCCAGAGCGCTTCCCCGCATCCTGCCCGCATCCCGGTTTATCCCGAGCCCCTCGGCAGCCGCTTCCTTGCATCCCGGTCTATCCCGGAGCGCTTCCCCAGCCCGGCCCGGCGCCGTGCGCCCCTCGCCCCGTCCCGCCCGGGCAGCCAGGGAGGGCGAGGCGCTGTCCCGCTCTTTCCCCGGAATGAAGGAAAGAACTCCATGTGAGGGAGCGCAGGAGCGGTGGGAGAGCGTGCCCCGTGCGCCCTTAAAGAGAGACGGTGTAGAAAACGTGTAAATTAAACCCACACGCGTGTAGTGTGTGAAAATCGCTGCGGTGAGGAGGAAGGGGAAGGGGAGCCACGGGAATTGGAAGGCAAAGGAAAACTGTGGCCCTGGAGGGGAGAGCTAATGGCAGCTTGGTGTGGAAATGTGGCTTCGTTCCTAGGAGCCAAGACACGAAACACGGCTTTGTAGGGCTGGCGATTATTGTTCAGCACAGAATTCAGTGGGTGAAATGGGAATATAAAACTTGAGCGTGTCTAGGTTAATAAAAACCAAAAACTGCAGTAATTGTCCCTGTAGATGGGATTCAGCAGAGAAAACGGGGAAAATATTAAAGGCATTAATCCTGATATGAAATGTAAGTGTGACACATATACAGGGTCTTTCCATGAGATAGAGGATAGTCTCTGTCTTACTGTGTCTTTTGAGGCTGTGGTTTTGTCCAAAAAATTCCTGCAAGGAATTTAATATAATTCCTGCATTGAATTATATTCCAAGAGAAACACTGAACTACTTTATTTATGCCACTTCAATACCACTTGACAAGTGCCTTATTAAACAGTTTAATTGATTGAAGTACGAATTAGGACAACTAAAAGGTTGGGTAAACTAAATGAGGGAAATGCAGACTCTTCTTCCTAGGTTGCTCATTTTATTTTTCTACTGACTGGGCTTGAAACCACCAAAACATAGACAAGCCATGTAAATTCTCTCATCTTTAACAACATGTTTTCTTTGCTTATCTTCTTATCTCTTTATTTTCTTTGCTTATCTTTTAGCTTGTCTTCTGAGTGCATTTCATCAAAAAAATCTTCTGACTTTTTTTTTTGATTAAGCACAAAGTTTAGATATGTTTCTGAAATACATTAACTAATCTGGCTTTTTGGGGAGGGTTTTTGGGGTTTTGTTGGTTTTTTTGTTGGTTTTTTTTTTTGGTTTGGATTTTTATTTTGTTTGGGGTTTTTTTTAATGGCAACATTTATTTCCATCTAAGTAGTTCATGACAGCCTGGACTCTGTATTGCCTAGACACACAGCTATTGGAGAGCTGCACTTTTTCTTGGGAAGATGCAATGTAACTGATATGAACTCTGTATTTCTCTGCTGGTTGATCAAACCACAGTCAGATGAGAAATCCTCATGTATGAATATGGATTATTTAGAGCTCGTACAAAGCAGAATCCAAGCTGGAACACAATCAATAACTTGCAGTGACACAATTCTCCATAGGTCCTGGGAATTTTGCGTGTGGGTGTGAGCCCACATTACCTACAGTGGAAGCCAGCAAAGGGCCACTGTGAGAGCAGCCCAAACAGAAAATCAAGGAGCTTCAACCTGAGAAGGCAGGAATCCATGGAAAGGTTTGCTGGGACCTAATGTGGCCCAGGGCTGATTTTTTAAATTTTTTTTTTAATGAAAATAAGGTTACGGTTTATAAAAAGCGGTGATATTTGTGCGTGCTAAGAATACTCAGATTTCCTCAGATTTGATCTTTTAAAATGTTCATTTTGCGTCTCAGCATGAAAACAGCTCACAGAACTGCTATGAATTTATATATACAATATTATTTTTCTGCAGTTGAGGCAAAAAATCGGTTTTTCTAAAAAAAAAAAAGACAAAACCAACCTGAATTCCAAGTGGTGTTTCAGACCGTGGAACTCCCCTGGCACACCAGTATAGCACCAGTACACTGCCACGCAGGGCTGGGAACACAGAATCCCCAGAGTTCTCTCTGGAGAAGTGCTGCAGGATGCACTAAAGCTGAAGACAAGCAGTGCCAAGGGCAGTCCCAAAGGAAGCTGAGGCAGCTGAATCTCCTGGATGTCTGGTGGAAGAGTAGGTGGTAAGAGTAGCCCTTAAAACCAGAGGAACCTGGCCTCTGACTCCCTCCAGTGTGGCAGAGTGAAGTTATCTTGTTGTTTTGTAGTTGTGTGTTCCTTGATAAGAGGCATGGACGTGGAACCTGTGTGTGATTCATCCTTGTCTCAGTGCTGAGCAGGCTTGGGCTGCATTTTCTGGTGGTGGATGGTGGCAGCCTGGTTGCCAGGGCTTTGTGCTGAGTTACACTGGATGTGGATGCAGCTGTGGGAAGCAGGTGCTGGGGCTCTGGTCAGTGTCCTGAGAATTCCATATCCATCAGGCCTCAGGGGCTCCAGAGTGGCTCATGGCCACCAAACACCCAGTCAGAGGAGAGGAGTATTGTAGGGGGACACAGTATGGGTAAATGAAGGTGGTATAGAATGTAATCTTATCCCCCAATGAGTTGCAGCTGAACCACTTACTAAAGATTAGGAGCAGGCTTGATCTTAACAAGCCACACCTGTAACCAATAAGAACAGTGGTATAAAAGAGTGGATTGGTGGGATCTGGAGTCAGATGGTTATTGCAAGGACCAGGAAGAGTCAGTGCTCAGAGGAGCTGCCTATGAGAAACATCAAGGAGGTACAAAACTCTGTGCTATGGGATCCTTGCACTATAATGATAATAGAACTCTTGATATATAAGACAACAGTAGTATCCCAGGAGAAGGGATTGGTTATGGTCACTAGCTGATTTTCAAGGAGGTGTCACAGGAAATTTTATGATGGGAGTTTTCCCCTTTGTTTCCTACAGAGTCTAAATAAACTGTATCTCAAACATTTTGCAGGTAGGGACATTTTGAGTTGTACACTAAACAATGAGGGCAGTGTTGTCAGGCTAAGGGGAAATTAAGATCAGGTAGTTGTTTTAATTTACCCTGCAGCTGTAGAATGACCTTTTCTTCTTTCCCTGGTATTGGTGATGCTCTTGTGGAGAGAAAGTTGCTCAGTGGAGAATTGGAGATCCTGCAGAAGGAAGGGATGGTGCTGCTCTGTCGCAGTGCTCTGAGGGCTGGGCACACCACAGGCTGCCTCTGACTTTGGAAAGGGAGGGAAAAAAAGCTCCTGCAAGCTGAATGAACAGCAATGACATACCTACAGCAATCAGGGGCTCATCTGTTTTAAATACACCCCACAACCCTGAGCTTGGGCTCTTTCCAAGGCAGCCTTGAGTACCCTACAAGTATGTTAGGAGATGCAAAAATAGATGCGAACACAAATCATTAGAAGTGTTATTAACAAAGGCAACAAGGAGCCAAGCAGAGCTGCTGCTCACTCACCGTCCCTGGGGGACAGGAGGAGCCCTGCAGTCTGCACTGCAGAGCAGCAGAGTAAATCCAGCACGGCTCCACACGCTGTGACTTAAAGCAGAGCTTGGCTCAAGGAGCACAGCACCCTCCCAGCAGAGAAGATCAATTAATTTCATTCATGTGCAGGAGGTTTGAGTTGTCTGCCACTGGAAAATCCATTGTAGCAGCTGGAACTGGGGTTGGCACAGCCCTGTGTGCTCACAGAGACAAATGCAGCTCTGAGCAGAGGAGTCACTTATTCAAGTGCCACTTGTGGCCTGTGTCAGAGCAGAGTCCTGAGACTGTCATGAACCTGAGCCCTCACAAATTGCTTCCATCTGACAAATGTCAGACAGTCACATGAGGCTGGGTTTGTGACTCAGTGAGCTTTTCCTGGTGCAAATGAGAGCTACACTTGTTGCTGACATTGCACGTGGGTATATCCTGCACACACGAGAATCTCACCAGTTTAAAAAAAAGGATTCTTTGTGTCCAATCTGGTGGAAATCCTGCATTGATTCCACTGGGAACAATAGTCAATAGTAGCTTCATATTTATTAGTTCTTCTGTTCCATGGCCCTCAAAAAACCAGGAAATTTTAGTTTACATAAAATTCTATTAGCTTCAGACTTTTAATATTGGCGTTTTGTAAATGTGTCCTGCTATGTGTTGAAAACATGTGATGGTACCAATATCACCAAGAAATGCTGAGGACTCCAGGACAAATCTCCCGGCTCCTGCCTTCCTTTCCAGCTTCAGTTAAAGCGGACCTTGCTTTTCCTGGTGCAAATGAGAGCTACACTTGTTGCTGACATAGTACATGGGTATATCCTGC